CGGGCCAGGCTTGATGTTCGCGCCTGGTCTACCGCCAGCCAATTTTCTACCTCCCGCAAGAGACGAGAACCCGTTGGCCTCGCTCGCGGCCAATCTCAACTTGAACAAGCGATCCTTGTCCCCGCCCGACAGCAATTCTCCAGAGGCGAAGAAGCAGAGGCTTCATCACTCCATGCGGATGCTCAAGGACGAACCGGTGCCGGAAGGATACGTTAGGTTCGCACCTTTCTTGAACGTTTTTTTTTTTTTTTTTCAATATCTACGTATACCAATATGTGTATATATATATTTATTTCACGTCGTTTAATCATTCGTCGTTTAAATATTCGTCTCGTTGTCGATATTTCAGGTTCAGATTCAACGAGGATTGCAGGTATCCCCACTGCGGTTACAGGGAACACCAAACGCATTTCCACTGCATGCGTCAAGACTGCGGGTACTCGTTCTGCGACAAAACTCGTTTCGTCCAACACACGGCGAGACACGAGCGTCTCGACACCCTGATGGGTGGCGATTTCCAACAGTACAGAGCGAACGTGCCGTGTGGGAGGGCACAGTGCGCGTACACGTCTTCGTTGGGCTCGATGCAGAACAAGGCGTCCCACTTCCATTGCCTCAAGTGCGACTTCGTTTGCACGGACACGAACAAAGTGGTCGCCCACAGGCGGCAACACGCGAAATTGGACAGTATAGCGGCGGCAGGCTTTCAAAAGTTCACGCCGAGTCAACCTTGCGGTGGTGTACAGTGCCAGCATTCCGGCAAACAGACTCACTATCATTGTCTTCAGTGCCAGTACGCCGTCCTCGGCCTAGCGCAGATGTCCGCTCACAAGTATCGCCACATGGACACATAACGCGACTGTCCACGTTCGAACTGCCATTAAGTTGGAAGGAGAAGAAAGGAAACCGAAGAAAGACAATTTCTCTTAGGTCCCCTTAGACATTCCTTGAATGCGGTGGATGGAGACGGCCCGGAATCGAAGGGAGGGCGAAGTAAGGAAGCAGCGGGGGGGAGTTGGATCCGTTGGATCCAAGACCAATTTCGGATCAATCGCCGATCGAATCTGAATTATGATAAAGAGGACTGAGGAAGAAAAAGAAGAGAGAGAGAGAGAGAAAGAGAGAGAAAAGAAAAAGAAAAGAAAGAAAGAAAAAGACAATTTCATACGCACCCTGTAGACATTCCCCAGCAGAATTTGCTCGCGATTGTCCATGCCCGATACACGATTGCGTGTTGCGTACATTCGTTGGACGAGGCTGGATGATTAGGAGCAGACCCCGACCGCGGCCTAGTCATTAATCTTCAGCCGTTCTATCGACCAGGAGTAATCGATAGCTCTTTTGCGGCGTGTGTCTTCTCGTTCGGATCGGAACACCACGGATGTTATAATCCGTTAATAATCGGTCGATGCATCGAATGGAACTGTTCAAATCACCTCGATGACTTCGTACTTACGAGAGAGATATTTTTTATCGATCATCTTGCAACATTTCGCACGATCACTTCTCGAATCCGAATGGTGCTGGAAGAGACTTTCGTGGCACGATGCGATTCGGCAGACAGAAGAGATCTAAAAAAG